GTTAAAGTGCAAAATTTATTGTGAAATTATTCTGTAATATTATTTAATTTAATTTTAAACCTTGCTTTAAAAAAATGGATTTCCGTACGATTAAAGAAATGCAAATACATATTTACATGTAAATTATTTTAAAAGTATATTCAAAAGAATCGCATTACAATGCTCATTGTATTTTAATATATTAATGATATCAAACAAAGTCAATATATTTTATGAAGATAGCAATTATTAGTCCCTACCGGTGAAACCAGAGGGGACTACTGGTATAGTTTCCGTATCGTCTGTCTAGCTGTCCGTCCCTCTGTCAGTCAGTCTGTCCCATTTGGTTTTCCGCACTTTTCTCTATAATCTTTTCCAAACCTTTATTTGATAAACTTTTTTTAGTATTTAGTGTATCTTGCTGAATTAAAGATCAAGCTTCATTGATTTTTGACGGAATTATGATTTTTATAACCGGGGGGAAATTTTTTTCCGAAATACTTGTAAATATCGTGCTAAGTTTTGGTAAATGAGTTAATCTCGATCAGTAGTAGATCATATTTGTATTTTCTTTCGCTTCAATGATTTTTTTTGTGTGTGGAATTATTGAATTGGAATTTACATGTTTTATTTTATTTTAAAACCAGGTTATACTTGCAGGTAGAAAATTATAATTGTTAATGCAATACTAACTCGAATAAATAGCCAAATGATAAAAAAAACCTAAATAGATTGAGTGTCTCCATTTCATTCTGAAAGTAAAAAGTATTTTTTAAAACAACTTAAAGATGCACATAATGTTCTCAGCAACTGAAACTAAGGTTCTTGCGTCACCAATTCTAGTTACATTTACATTGTAGTAAGTGCTTGTCCAGATCGCAGTTCAGAATACATTTATAAATGCCAAAGATGTGTTAAATCCCAAATTCTGTAGAAACGTATAAATCAACATTTAGTCTTCCCTACACAAATATCAACCACACGGAAAAACATAACAAACCTTCTCTAGCAGATTGGAGCAAGAGTTTCTATTCGAAAAAAAAGGCTATTTATAATATTTTTTCTGATATATGTTTGATACAGAACGTTAAGGAATGGACTCGATTTCACTTTTTTGTTCAATCAGTCAGAAAATATAAGTAAGATCTGGCATCTGGACCATTTATGGTAATGTGCAACCCTAAATGTATCATTTGTGCATGTTTGGTCAACCTTTTACTCTGACTATTCATCAATGGAATGTAAGTTAGACCCAGCATCTGAAACAAATCTTTTACTGTGTATCCGAAGATGCATCATGAAACATGTCTGGTCATCAAGTACTTATAAAGTGGCATTGCTAAAAAAACATAAACTTACTTTAACAACATTGACTTCGACACATATTAGCTTAAAGCACAGCATCTGAAACCCGAAAGATGACAAGGAAAAATTGGTCAAGGGACTAGATGATATAAAAAAATACCTGCTTGAAAAATATTTAACTGGGAACGCCAAATTGAATGCCGATGGTATTAAGAAAACTCCCCTGTTCCGTGTAATTGAACTAAAAATGTGACGTTAACGTTATTGCCCATTTTCAAAAGGTGAGTTATTTCCCTGAAGGGAACTCTTTTACTGTGTTTAATACGCATGCGCTATAAATAAAGTCACTTCCGCGGACGTTCTTGGTGTAAACATGTTTATGGTGTTATGTCTCAGTCATATGGAAAAATGTTATTATGTTTGTGAACAAATTTTTAGTTATAAAGTTTTTACGAATTAATCTATAGCCTGCTGCAGCCATATTTTCTTTGTATCACTAAAAAATTTTTGGAGACTAATGACATGTCCATCTACAGTCTTATCTCTGAAATTGCGGCATATACAGCAGTAGTTCGTCTTCCGCGACCGATACCAAGAAACTGCGTTTTGTCGATTCTATGTCATAACATCTAACTTTTACTTACAAGAACATATTTAGTGACAATTAAAGGCCTATTTCATTTGAATTAACAGTGTTTCTAGAATTTTTTATTTGTAAAATAATTGATTCACTATATAGTATTAAAACTTTGAATGGAATTTTAAATGAATAATTTAATCTCATGTCCTCAAGTAGCGAAGAAAGACTAATTAAAATAGCATTGACCTGAATTCGTGTTACATAATTATGTCGTATAAAGTCTGAGCTGCATTTAATCAAAGTTTTAGTGTATAGGATTTAAGCATATGTACATGTATATTCCCGAGTAAAATACACATTTTGTTTAAGATCAGAGAATTGAGAGCAGAAACACGAAATTGATACAATAATTTCCTAGCGTATATCTCGTTAATTAACGGAAAACATTCTTTTCTCAAGTGTTACTTATTTTTTTTTAAATCCTTTCAGTGTAAGTACATGTATTTATTTTTTTAAGTTAATTTTTTTTTTGGCAAAGTTTTTTAAAAAACAATATCAGGGAGAGAGAGAGTCTCATGTAACCCCGTGTAACTGACATACATGCATGTGCATATGTGAAAAAATACATGTACCGTAATTTTATTGAATTCACAACTAATAATTCTAATAATTTTTAATTTTCACAACTATGGTTCATATTCAACTGTTCAACCCATTTTCATATTCGTTCTCTGTACCTGTACGCACGGGGGGGGGGGTGTCAAAGGGCTTAGCCCCACCCCCACTTTTTTCCCCAATATTACTTTTTCTATTGAAAATGTTCATTGATAGATAGGTTGCGAACCCCCCCCCCCCCCACGCACACACAGTTGATACTACGGTAAAGTTATATAAGGGAAATGTAGTATTGTATGCCAAGAAACTGGTACTGAAATAATTAGCTTTTAAACTTTGGGCAGGTTTTTCTTTGCTTGTCAACTTTTCCAGGTAAGAAATAAATATTTCTTTGGCTAACACCCCCACCCCCCCCACTTTTAAAGACGACGCTACGTGCCTGGCTAATTCGTGTAGAATTCTTGAAAAGGGGGGGTGGGTGGGTAACAGACCCTTTATAAAATAATTTATTAGCGAGCGCAGCGAGGCGGCGCGAAGCGCGCGCTCGCATAGCGAGCTCTTTAAGCAACGCCTGTGCGAAGAGAAAATTCGGACTACTGCACATTCATTCGATAGAATTTTTTGATGCCGTAATTTCGACCCACAATGCATCACTTGTTTTAGCTACGTTCTCGCGAGAGTCCCGCCAAGTGTTCAACAAAAAGTTGACTCGCCTTGATTTAATGGATATATATTGAAGATAAATAGTAAAGAAACGTTTTTCGTTAACTTTCAGCACTGTTCAGGCTTTTTTTCGGAATATTGCGACTTACATACGTCATATGACGTCAGAGTCTAGACGCACCAAATGTCACGTGCGGTTTGACGAGCCCGATCTAAATCAAAACAATAGAAGATAATAACGTAAAGCATATATCGGACTTTCAGTTTGTAGAAATCTTTCAAAGAAACAAGAAATAACTCTGCAATGTTTTTCGACAAAAATTGCACTAGTAGTTTCAAACAGACGCTCGGCTGTCTCCGTAAACTCCGACGAGCTTTTTGACGTCGATGACGTCACAGCTGGTAGAGATATGTCGTGCAGCTTGAGTTTGAAGTGGCTGATCTCAAGTGTCTTTGATGGTACAACTGCGCTCGCCCCAACGGTCACACGGTAAAACATATTATGTAAAAAAATGCAAACCGTTTTATTCTTTTAAAACTTTCAAATACAGCGTGTAAGTTGAATCACTATTTTGTTGGATTGTCGTATTGCGTAGTCCGCGGAAGTTGTAGGCTCATGTAGAAGAGTTCCGATTTTGAGGGGGAGATAACTCACTTTTGAAAATGGACAATATATCGCGACGAAATAAGTATGGAAATAAAGACAGTATCCGAAAATGTATTCTATTGTTAATATTTTCGAGAATTATCTTTGATTTAAAAAAACTGTGCTACTTTTGCCTTAGTATTTTAACCTGGTGTATGATCAAGTAACCAGAATGTTCTAATTTAAGGCATGCAAATTTTAGACAATTTTCAATTTTTGGATATGAAGTGCACACACGACACTCATCATATTGTAAACTATTAGTGTGCAGGGTATATCTAATAACTGGACAAAACTAGGTGAGTGTCCCTCATGCACTTCATATTCTAAAAAACGATTTATAAATGCCACCCTCTTATATTTTCCCATAGGCCTAATGTTAACGTAGCGGGTACATCTAAGTTTGTGTCGGCTACGGTGTGAATTTATCTCATATTAACTTTTGAAATATTAATACCAATTCTACGTAAATATAAAAATGACGTGGCCACCCGATGTCTTCGATTCAGCTAATTTTTTTCTCACTGACACTTCAATGAATGAAAAGACTGACTATATGAAAGAAAGCATGGTAGTTTATCCGGTTGACATGGAAACGGGACTAGAAGATGTAAATTATAGTGGATTTTGCTATTTATCAATAATATCAAAAAAATATTTACTAGACAAAGCTGTTTATGTTCATATTTTTTTATATCCTTCATGACAATCAAAACTATGTAAAAAATAGCCAAGGTCACAAAAATTTTACAATTTCTAATTTTCTGATGCCCAAAAAGTGAATAATTAGTCCTCGTTACCTCCCTTGTTAGACTTAATATCTAAAGACTTTGACAAGTGATGTGAAAATTCTAGTAGGAAGATTTAGATTCAAGAAATGTTATTTTGCAAATATCATTTTAAACATTTATGGGTAAATGAAAAATAAACGTTTATTACACTATAAAGTTGGGCTAGATGTGCTTTTTCTCTATCCGAGTTATTTCCCTTGTTGGAGCTCTTCGGCATTGAAGAATACAAAATGTGTAAATTGTAAACAAGATGGCAGACAATGAAATCTGCAGTTTTTCTTCTTGTTTTGAAACATCTTGTTCAGGAAAGTCTACCTCAAGCGACTCAGAATTTGATGACAAACAGTTGACAAAGTTGGGATAATCTTTAAGAAAAGCCAAAGGGTTGATCTGGAAATGATGAGTATTACACGTATAGCTACTCGTAGAAAAGAAAAAAATGAGGAAATCAGGATGGTATGGGGGCGAAGGCCGAGAGGATTTTAACTGTTCCCTTCAAGATGTCTTTGAAATTGAGATCGAAAGATAAATGTAGTGGTGTGGTAGTCCCCGACCGATCCCAATTACAATGTGTAAGTATTTTTTTATTCATAATTCTATTCAGGTATCACATGTACTGATAATTAATCGAGATTCCTCTGACTCTAACCCCCGCTTTTATATTGTGACTTGTGCGCACAAGTTACAATATAAAAGCAGGGGTTAGAGTCAGAGGAATCTCGGATTAGGTAACTGACTGTATAATGAAATATAAGACAATAAAAACAAACAAAACCATGAAAACTTGGATGCACAGTTGCACATATTACATGTACATGACATTGGATCAAATACTACTGTGCAATATATATGCCCAATTTGGGTACTGGTATTTTATTTTCTATAAAATTCAGTATATTTGAAGAAAATTGTTTGTATGAATTTATTTTTCCAAATTATAATATGCTTGTGTCCAATCTATTTTTACAAACAGGATTTGTAGAAATCATACCTCGGAAATATTAAACCTTTGACTTCTGACAATGATAACTGAATAGTGTGTTAGATTTTTTGAAATTTTAAGCAATATCAGGACTGTTGAATATTTTAAAGAATTGATTAAAAAAGTGTAAGTGTAAAATTATGAAAGTACATGCAGACACACAGATTTACAAATGCTAATAGTGTTCAAGATCTAAGTACATATACTTTGAAATCATTTTTGGGACCTTGATACAGTGAATTTATTTGCTCTGTAAGGTGATGTATTGTAAAGTAGGAAAAGAAATCTATCCAAGGGAGTTAAAATATGGCAACTCCATTTGTACTTTCCAAGATGCAGCTTTCTGTCTCATAATTTTATTTTACTGATCACTGTTTTTCAGCTATATATTGCAGGCATATCAATCTTGCTGAGTTGCACACATTTTAAATATGAATAGTTTTAGTTTGACAATATTGATCTGTACAGATGAGATCAGTCTGATGCTGTGTACTTTACACAAAATAAATTATACCACATTACGTTAGTATCCATAAAACATGTATGTTTTTATTACAATTAATTTATGATTATATATTAAATACATTTTATTTTCCATTTTAGAAATTAATTGTTGTCAAATTCATTTCTACTCTTAGTTTCTATATCTCTGGCGATTTGTCCAAACTGCAGAAAAGCTTTATATGTAAATTGAAAAAAAAATGCTTGATTACAACATTAAATCCACTCCTTTATCAATCATTCCTCTTGATTCAGAAAATTTTCAGGATAACATGTAAATATAAGGTACATGTAATATTTAAGGAATGACTCTAATTCTTGGCCAAATTATCGAGTATAATATGGTTTGGGTCAGTTTACGCTTCATAATCCGCGAAGCGGATTATAAAAAAGCGTAAACTGACCCAAACCATATTATACTCGATAATTTGGCCAAGAATTAAAGTCATTCCTTATAATTTAATTTTAAAATAATTAAACAACTGGGGGTGTAAAATTGTGTTGTTTTTATGAGTTCAAATTTACCGCGCAATAATACAACCGTAGTAACGGAAGTGATGGGAAGCGAGGGGAGGTAAAAATTGATACATAGATCTAGCAGCCATGCTTGTTTACACGAGGTAAGATCGAGCTACTGTTTGAAGTTAAAGGTACATACATACATTCCACGAATCCCAAGGACTGGAAATGAGGGGATTGATGGATACAGATGATTCAGTTGGTTGTCAAGGGGTGTGTCCCCATACCAAACCAGATTATACAAAATGTTATGCGTTCCTTTTTGGAAATCAACCAATGAGAGGCAAGAATACAAACAAAATTAAATTATATATATATGATGTTCAGGATTTTAACCCAAACTTTCAAATTAAAAAATGATTTTAAATTGATCATTGCAGCCCTTGCAAGATTTTCCTAATAAAGATTCTCAGGATTACAGATCCTCTAGCAAGGAGACCACACAGGTACATGTAGTGTGTATTAAGTTGCATGGATTCATGGTGACTTAAGACATGATTGCCACAACAATGCATAAAGTGAGATAATAATGTTTATAGGTTGAAAATGTATATGTTTTATATATAGCAAAATTTTAAGATTCCAGTTTTAAGTTTTTGAAACAATTTTTAAATAAATTATTATCCACAGTGACCAAAAATTATTGTTATTTTTTTTTTATTTTCATGTGAACAGATAGAGATGACCAGAGCAGAGGACATACAGCCCCCCCCCCCCCCCAAAAAAAAAAAAATCACAGTGGACTGGAAGTAAATTTTACATGAAAAATACAAAGTAGGAAAAAATAACAGAAAGAAAAGAGGATCCAGTAAAAGTTGTCACTGGTGCAAGATGGACATAGAGAGGGTTTTCTAATGATCATTACTAAAATCCACAGCAAATCAATACTGCAAGGCTGAGCTAGTTTTCAAATTTACACAAAAGGACATAAAGAAATGTGAATTCGAGGAAACCAAGCTTAAATCAAATGAGAGAATATGAAGGAACAAATTTAAGCAAATTTTTTTTTAAGCAGGGCATCTGTTTTCCTTAGAGAATATGTGTATTCTAAATTGATTTCTTGTATTTTCAAAAAATGTCACTGTTTAAGTGAAGCATACATTCCAATTTATGTCTTGTTTATTTTTATGCCCCCGTAAACGAAGTTTCGGGGGTATAAAGTTTTTGTCGTGTCTGTCTGTCTGTCTCTCTGTCTGTCTGTCTGTGTGTCTGTCTCTCTGTTTGTCTGTTTGTCCGCAAAAACTTTAACCTTGCCCATAACTTTTGATTTAGTAGAGCTATGACTCTCATATTTCATATGTGTATTCCTTGTGACAAGACCTTTCTTTGGGTACCACCAAATTTGACCTTTTGACCTTGACCTTGGAGTTTGACCCACTTTTACTTGAAAATTTAAAAAATTTACTATGGCCATAGCTTTTGAACAGTAGACACCAGGACATTTATAATTCACATATGTAATGTTTGTTAAAAGATCTTTCACTGGATACCAACAACCTTGACCCTTTGACCTTGACCTTGTAGATTTCCGTACTTGTAAAAAAACTTTAACCTTGGCCATTACTTTTGAACGGTAAGGGATAGGGTTTTCATACTTCATATATATAATCCTTGTGAGAAAACCCTTCATTGGATACCAAGAACTTTGACCTTTGACCTTGACCTTTGAGATTGACCTACTTAAAAAAGCAAACCTTGACCATAACTTTTAAAGAGTTAGGGCCAGTGCTTTCATACTTAACATATTAAATCCTTATGACAAGACCTTTCATTTGATAACAATAACTCTGACTCTTTGACCTTGACCTTGGAGTTTGACCCACTTTTACATGAAAATTTAAAAATTTTACTTTGGCCATATCTTTTGAACAGTAGACACCAGGACATTTATACTTCACATATGTAATGTTTGTTAAAAGACCTTTCACTGGATACCAACAACCTTGACCCTTTGACCTTGACCTTGTAGATTTCCGTACTTGTAAAAAAAACTTTAACCTTGGCCATTACTTTTGAACGGTAAGGGATAGGGTTTTCATACTTCATATATATAATCCTTGTGAGAAGACCCTTCATTGGATACCAAGAATTTTGACCCTTTGACCTTGACCTTTGAGATTGACCTACTTTAAAAAAGCAAACATTGACCATAAATTTTTAAGAGTTGGGGCTAGTGCTTTCATATTTTACATATTTGATCCTTATGACAAGATCTTTCATTTGATAAAAATAACTTTGATCCTTTGACCTTGACCTTGGAGTTTGACCTACTTTTTAAAAAAATTGAACGTTGTCCATAACTTCTGATCGGTAAGGGCTAGGGCTTTCATGCTCTACACAAGTATTTTAAACATAAGCTCACTTTCAAATTTCACAATTGTTTTCCAGTGAGAATAACCTACGTTTGGTATCAATTATTAAATTAGCATTTAAGAAAAGCCTAATCTTTGCTATGTTGCCATACGGGGGCATCAGTGTTTCACAAACACATCTTGTTTTCTATAAAAGCAGTTTTATGCAAAGCAGTTTCTTCCCTTTTTATATCCCCTCTCTGCAGGAGAGGCGGTATACTGATTTATTATCCCCCCACATGGGCTCACAAATTTAGAGTTTTATATTGGCAGGCTTCACACAGTATGTTATGTATGATTAGAATATATATGAATACATTTTAACAAAACTGAGAACAAGATTAATTGTGAAACACTGATTCCCCCATACATTGCAGCTTATGTCAAGACTCCCACGAGGTATCCCAAGAAAGGTCTTGCCACAAGTAAAACACCTGTGAAATATGAAAATCTAGTCCAACTTCAAAAGTTGTGGTTAAGGTTAAAGTTTTTTTAAGTCGGTCAATGTCTAAGGTCAAGGTCAAATGGTTAAAAATATTTATACCCATTAAAAGAACATAGTATACATGTAACTGATCATCTGAATATGCTGATAAGCAATGTGGTAATAAAAATTAATTCCACAATATTTAGCATATAAGGTCATTTAAAGAAATTTGGCTGCCTTCCCCCAACAGACTAACTAAAATTCAAAACTTTTTTTACATTGCAAGACAGGATGGTTTTTTTTTATCCATCTTATCTCGTCAACAAATATTATGAAATTTTCTGGGAAAAAGATTTTACAACCTACCTAACGAGGCGACTTAATAATTTTACCCTGAGCTGGGAGAGGGCAAACAAACATTATAATCAAGATGGTCTTGCCAACTTGTTTTAACATAATATTGTCTGACCTACTTTCATATTTTCATAAAATACTTTCATATCATTTATTAAATATGAGTTTGCCTTTTTACTTTAATTATACATTTTAAAAAATTAACCATAAAACAATTGTTTTGAATTTGAACATATTTTAGTGAATAAATCAAAAGGATTGGACACAATTACAGGCCATTAAAAGATTTGAAAGAATTTTTGGAAACTCACTTGTTTTATTTCATATTTTAAATCTAAATCTAAATTAAATTTAAACTAAATTTAAAATCTAAATTAGATTAAAATAACTAGAAGCCTGATTTGTTTCCATGGCAACATTTTAATTTACCTGTCACTGAGTTAATTTCAGAAGTTCTATTTAATTATTGAAAAGAAATTTAAATACTTGACATATATTCATACTACATAACAATTTGTTCAGTTTGGTAAAACATGTTCTTAGATGATCTTCTCTGTTATTTGTGATTAATGGAGGGGGGGGGGGGGGTCATTCATGCAATAATTTCTAGAAAGCTGTACATTTACCCATTAATTTATTAATTTTTTTTAATTCTCACAAAACATAAGAATATAAAGTTTATTTAATGATACATGGTTACAAATATATCGGTTGTCAAAATGGTGAACAATTTAATTGAATATGACTAAAAAAGTCAATTTTGGCAAATTGCCAATTTTCATGCAATAATTTCTAGAAAGTTTTTGATTTACCCATTAATTTTTTTTATTCTCATAAAACCTTAGAATATGTAGTTTATTTATGATACATGGTTACAAATATATCAGTTGTCAAAATGGTGAAAAATTTCATTGAATATGACTAAAAAAGTCAATTTTGGCAAATTGCCAATTTTCATGCAATAATTTCTAGAAAGTTTTTGATTTACCCATTAATTTTTTTTATTCTCATAAAACCTAAGAATATATAGTTTATTTAATGTTACATGGTTACAAATATATCAGTTGTCAAAATGGTGAAAAATTTCATTGAATATGACTAAAAAAGTCAATTTTGGCAAATTGCCAATTTTCATGCAATAATTTCTAAAAAGTTTTTGATTTACCCATTAATTTTTTTTATTCTCATAAAACCTTAGAATATATAGTTTATTTAATGATACATGGTTACAAATATATCAGTTGTCAAAATGGTGAAAAATTTCATTGAATATGACTAAAAAAGACAAATTTGGCAAATTGCCAATTTGCTTACAACCTTAATGCTGCAATGAAAATTCGCTTAACCTTCATTCAAATATCTTTGAATGAAATTAATTTCTCAGATTTTAGTAATATGAGCTCATAATATAATTTTCATGTGAATTTTTACTAAATAATTGAATGTGCACAAATTCGATTTAAAACAGAGCAAAATTTGCTTAATCAGAGGGTTCTAAATATTACATCCCTGTTACCATGGCAACCAAATTGAAAAGTTAGACTTTAACATCATATTTATTAAAGACATACCAATTGTAGTAAATGGTGTGAATTTCAGCTTAATCGGAGATATGTCATGTCCACGACCCTATTTAAAATTTTGATTTTTATAGAGAATTGATATTAATAACAAAAATTAAGATATTCATTACTGAAAAAAATAAACGAAATTATTTTTTATGAAAATAAGTGGGCCGAGAAACGACCTTATCGAAACTCCCCCTTTCAAAAATCTTAAGACCTCTTTTACGAAATCTTTTTACCTAGAAATATTTCGTTAAAACATGTAGAACAAAAGAAGTGTAGAATCCCCCTTTTCGAGATATAAAGCGTCAAAGATCTTTCAAATGTTATCTCAAAAAAAAGGCTGGCCCCTAAAATTTAGGGCGCCTTGTTTACAAGTGTAACGAATACTAAGAACTGGGTACGGTATGTATAACGGGGCGGCCCTGTCTCTAAATTAGATTGAAGTTTTTTACAAACATGCCCACGAAGTGTCCTTTCAAGATCATTTTATTTTTTGGAATTATCTCTTACCGTTCTTCCGCCAGAGGTTTGGGAAAATGGTGCATTTTCTTCAATAATTACAACTTTTGACGTAACGACGTCATCACGACGTTACTGATTTTAACGTTACGTGAAATGAAATCTGTAAATTCTCTTAACCGAGAACTATTTACTTAATCCTGCAAATATTCCTGTAAACCATTTTGAACTATCTTTCAATTCATCATACGTCGTTGATAGTTTGAAATAGTTTAATAATTTTCAGAAATATATAATTTTTTGACAAACGATTGTACCAAACACTCTAGTCTACGAAACTTTATTCATCCAGATAAAATAAGGTGAGTACTTAAAAAATTGAATGTATAGTTTATTAAGTTGGCAATTTTTTTTGGCAATGAAAAAGCTATCAACAGAACTTCCCCCTTTCATTCCAACAAATGACGGCGCTATAAGTCTTGGATCTTTTTTATGAACATATTAATTACTAGTACTCCCTATTTCGGGGTTATATGATATGCCTCTTTCAATTTTCTTTGATTTTAGATTTTTACCCTCGGTTGAAAAGTGGGAAGGTATATAGTGATCGGGGTGTCCGTCCGTCTGTTACGCTTTGGGGGTACCTCTCTTTTATGTTTTGCCGTTAGAAACCCAAAACGTGTCGGATCAAAAAGTAAAATAAAAGGTGCACAATGGCAATATGTTATTAAGATTCTGTGAAAGTTTCATTGAATTTCATTCAGTGGTATAATAAGATATGCGGATAACAGACGGGTACCCTTAAAGCGTAACAGACCAGTGGCGTAGCATCGTTTTTGAAAGTGGGGGGAGGGGGCAGCCAGAGAAAAAAAATTACGTACCTGAAAAAGAAAGGAAAAAGTTGCCCAAAGTCGAAAATCCTATTCGTGGGTGTGGGGGGGGGGGGGGGGGGGGTGGT